CAGAGGGACTGAACTGCTGGCTGCCCTGTGGTCTAGTCATCTTGTCCTGGTCATTTCACTCTTGGCTCATTGCTGCACTAAAGGCTAGGACTGAGGTGCCACTCTGCTCCTAGGTGCAGGGCTGGGTGACTCTGTTTCTGGAACTTGTTCTTTCTCTGCCCTGAGGCTGGGCGATAGATGACAGACTGCCAGGTGGCGCCTGGTCGTGCTCCCTGGGATCTCTTCCTGCCCTGACGTTCAGTTACCTTACCATCCCTGGGTGCTAGAAAGCTGCTCCTGTGCCACAGTCCTGGCCAGCTCCTGACCTGTCCATTTTCCAAGCTTCCCTGTGACTTTCTCTTGGCTTTCTGGTTCAAAATTCAGTCCGGCTTTCTTTCTGTGGAGGAGGTAAGGGGAAAATGGTCCCTCTCACTCTGCCATCTTGACTCTGAGTTTGACATATTTCTGTAGCAGAGTGTGGGTGGGGGTGGGGGTGGGGGTGGGGGTGTGTGTTCATTCTCCTTTTGCTCTTTTCACATAAGAGGGGAGGTTCTTCTGACGGCTGCTCTCACCACTCTTTCTCCATGTTTGCACACTCTTCTCATGGGCCCCAATTATGCACGTTCTGTCCCCTCCTACCTCCTTTCTGCACTACAGTGTTTTCACTTTTGTCCTCTCTTCTTTCTCCTCTTCAGATCCTCAGAAAAGAACACTCTCTCCCTCTTACTGCCTCCTCCCCCCATTTGTCTTAGGCAGCCTTTTCTGCACCCTTTGAAAACCTTATGCTTCTGGGGGGAGACTCGTTCTTCCCTATTGAATGTTAGCACTGCAGCCTCGGGCCGCTCACATTCATTTACCTTTCTAAGTTTCTCTGGACCCTTGTATTTCAGAATTCCTTTTGTTTGTTTTTTCTACCCCAAATGCTGGAAAGTACTCTATTTTACCCTTATAGGATTACATTTTATGTGAGGCGTAAGTGATTCTTGGTTGTAAGCCGATCTCATTTGCCTTTCAAGATATTGCATTCCCCGATATCTCATTTAGAGTAGAAGCTGCCAGGTGTTCTGTGATCCTGACTACACAGCATGTTCCTTTATACTTGAACTTCTTTCTGGATCCTTGGTAGATTTTTCCTTTTTTACTCCTTTTCTTTTTTTTTGGCTAGGCAATGGGTTTAAGTGACTTGCCCAGGGTCACACACCTAGTGTCAAGTGTCTGAGGCCAGATTTGAACTCAGGTCCTCCTGACCCCAGGGCTGGTGCTCTCTCCACTGTGCTACCCAGCTGCCCCTGGATCTTTCTTTGACACACTGGAGCTTGGAATTTTGTCTACTACATTCTTGGGACTTTTCCTTTGGGTGTTTCTTTCAGGAGGTAATTGGTGATAATTTCTTTCTCTACTTGGCCCTCTGATTCTGGTAGGTGTAGGCAGTTTACATATGTGATTTCTCAAATGTAGTGCCCAGGCATTTATAAAAATTATAGTTTTTATGGAGTTTTATGGAGTCCTTGAGCTGATTTTCAAATCTATTGTTTTTGATATCTGATCTGACAGGTTCTCTTTTTTCCAACCTTTTAATTTTGTTTTAATATTTCTTACTTTTGGGAAATCATTGATTTCTATTTGGTCCCTTCACATTTGAAGAGACTTCATTTCTTGGTTAAGTTTTAGCACTTTCTGTTCTAAGCTATTTATTCTCCTTTTTTGCAGAGCTTTTAGTTTGTGTCCTATCTCCCTTCATTTCTTCTAAGTTTTCATGTAGTCAGTAGTCACTAAACATTTGTTAAGTGCCTACTATGTACCATAGTGCTTGTGGAAAATCCATTTTCCCCTTCTTTTGTGGATCTCTAGATCAATAATAAGTTTTGATGCTGACGGTGTTTTCTTTGATTTACTCATCTCTTCAGTTTTAGTTTCTCATTTGGGGTTTGTGCCAGCACTCAGCTGGCACTCGGGGAGGTGGCCCTGCTTCCTCTCCCCCACCATCTCCTTGGTTCCTGTGGTGAGCTCCCTGTCCTGGGGTTAGGTCCCTCTACCTCTTTAAGGGCCTGAGCCCTTTGGCATCTCAGGAGAGTCCCTGGGCTTTAGCCCATAGCTCTTGCTGCCACCTGGCCCAGCCTCACAGGCCCTTCGTGTCCTCTGGTTGTGTGGCAGCCTTGGTGGCTCCTTGGGCCTCCAGCTGACTTCCTGTGTGGCTCTGTGGTAGGTTCGGTCTCTAGAGTGTCTCCTTGGATTCTCCATCATTGCCTTAACTGGTGCAAACTTAAGGGTTTAGCTGGACCTATTTCGTCTGTGGGAGCTGGTCGTTCTGCCTCTGAGCAGTAGCCATCTTGGCCTTCTGTATGAACTCTTCTGACCCCTCAGCCGATCTCGATGTCCCTAAACAGATCCTCATTGCTTCCTCTGGTCATGTCCTTCTGATTCTGCCAGCCCAGAAGTTTTGGGGGTCCTTGGGTTTCCCTTGAGTTCCTGTTGCCTAGGCTTTGGGGGGGTGGTTGTTGCTGACACTGCTGGAGAATTGAGCCCCCTGCCCTGGCTTGCTCCCTTGCTCCCTTCTCCGTGCAGCTCCAAAGCCTGTGGACGCCTCTCAGCGAGCAGTGCCTGCTTGTTGCAGCTGAGCATGCTGCAGGACTAACCCCCCAAGTTCAGCTCCTGCTGACATCCAGCCCCCAAGCTTCTGGAGCCCGTGCCAGGCTTTGCGTGTCTCAGGCACGTTCTCATCTCCTTTCTGTTGTAGGGCAGTTTTTACAAGGTGGGGGAAATCTCGTAGACAGGATCCATTTTCAGACAAGCAAGAGGAGTCCTGTCCTGGCTCTTGGAAGTCTGAGCAAGAGACTGACTGTGTGGGGCCGGGCCCCCACCCCACCCCCCCACCTCCAGGCCAAGAGGCCTTCAGAGATGGTACAGCATGGTGATGACATGCACCCAGCTCACTGGAAGTGACTGGGGACAGCTCAGATTTCTCTTTTATTGAGTTGACTGCTGAAGAAAAGTGTGTCTAAGCTGATGAAAAATAACAGGAATCGCACTGTTGTTCGTCAGCTCCAAGTGAACACTTTCCTTTACGTTGAAACAACAACAAAACTGTAGCCAGTCAGCAAGCATTTACTATGATGTGCCAGGCACTAAATCTTGGGGAAACAGACCAACATGAAGCCATCCCTTCCCTCCAGAGCTCCCATTGGCAACGTGAACACGGATGGTGTCTACAGTGGGCGTGTGGTTAGCCCAGAGGGGTTTGGGAAGGGAGTGTGCAAGGAGCTGGGGGGATCAGGGACCTTGGTCCCCCTGGTCAGATCACACCTGGACCATTCTGTTCAGTTCTGACCACTGCCCTTTATGGAGGGCACGAGCAAGCTGGAGAGTGTCTGGGAAAAGGCGGCCAGGATGGCGGAGAACCGAGGGGGTGGATCCTACGAAAAGGAGCAGAAAGGCTTGTGTGTATTTAACCTGAAGGAGAGAAGATTCACATTTTTGAAAAACTGTCGTGTGGAGGAGGGGTTTGAGGAGGCACAGTGGGGGAAACCTTAGGCACACGTTGAAGCTTAATTTCCAAAAAGTAAGCATAAGGACAGGACCTGAGACTTCACTGGGAGAGGGAGCTCCCAGAAATTCCCCCCATTGATGCAGATTGGCCCTTCTCTGCAATTTATAATCTTTGAGAATTGCTTAGAACACAGAGAAGTTAAGTGACACTTCCAGGGTCTTCCAGCCAGGATGAGACTTGAATCCAGGACTTCCTGGCTTGGAGGTCAGCTCTCTATCCATTGTGATACCCTGCCTCTCGGGGGGATTTCCTGACAGACTTCCTCAGGCTCTCTAAACCTGGCATGTGCTGCCATTCCTGAAGGTTTCCAAGCAGAGAGGGAGGACCCCTGGGTGGTGCCTCTGTCATAATGAGGGTTCCTTCAGGTATGAGGTGAGCTAGAGGGCCGCTGCGCTGCTTTCCAGCTCTCGGATTTGGGTTTCCACTGTGCCACAGTGCTATTCCATTATGGCAGTGTACAAAAATACAGTCAGCCATTCTCCAATTGATGGACAGAGGTTGCTTCCACTTTCCACTTTTCCAAATAGAGCAGCTTTTGTTGCTGTGGTTGCATTTTTGTTTTTGTTTTATTTGGGAAGGGGTGGAGGCAATCGGGGTTAAATGACTTGCCTAGGGTCACACATCTGGTAGGTGTCAAGTGTCTGGTCTGAAGCTGGATTTGACCTGAGGTCCTCTAAAGCAGCTTTTTTTGAATGGGGAAGCTGGGTGGCTTAGGTTAGAGCACCAGGCCTGAAGTCAGTAAGACTCATCTTCCTTGAATTCAAATCTGGCCTCAGACACTTACTAGCTGTGTGACCCTAAGCAAGTCACTTACCCCCGCTTGCCTTAGTTTCCTCATTTGTAAAATGAGTTGGAGAAGGAAATGGTAAAACACCAAATAGGATCATGGGGAGTCAGATGTGACAGAAACAAGTGAATCTGCACTTTTTTGATGTTTTTGGGCTAGAGTCCTGCCATTGCACCCTTGGGTTAATTAGTTTGATGACTCAGTTGTATATTGCCATATGACTCTCCAAAATGTGTGAATAACTGTCTGAACATTGTATGGAAAATTCTTGTGTTTGCAGCAGTGAGTGAGATAAAAGGCTGAAGGATGATATGGAGTGGAGAATGACCTACATTTGATAATTCTTATCAAATGAAAGAGTGACTTGAGTAGTTTTAAATATTAGCTATTAATATTTAATTAATTATATTAAATTAATTAATTTTCTAAAATAGGCTAGATGTTGGAAAGCCTCTAAGTGGCTTGGGTAAATCCTTTAGAGGATTTCTAGAAAAACATGAGGAAAAACCATGTGGTTGATCAACGAAGGCTTAGAAAGGCATCTGCTATAGGGGGGACGCCCTCTGCTATGGTGTCCTGGCCCCATTGCCAGTGAGCCCTGAATCATTTTCTTCAAGTGCTTCCTCTTTCTGATCCAGTATTCTTTCTCTTTATCGCTCTTAACCACAACAATCTTTTGTTTTGCAGCTGGAATTATTTCTCTTCTGGATGAAGAAGAACCACAGCTTAAGGTAGGGCTGTTCTTGTTCTTGCTAAAGCTTGGTATTTAGAAGGTGGGAGACCTTTGAGTTGAGTGTCCAGGTCCAGCCGCAGTCTTCAAACCTTGTAGGTTCTCCCACTGTCTTGGGAGCTATAGCAGAGTACTGACCTTAGCAGAGAGCAAGCAGCCCCTCTGGAGTCCTACAAAGCCAAGGAAAAACCAAACTTCAGATAGTACTTGGAGAGCGACCAGTTTCTTTATGAACATTAGGAAAAAAACCCCACCTAATGTTTAAATATCATGTTCTGTCATACTTATTATTTCATTTATGTGCATGCCTCCCCCCTTTGCCATTAGAGTGTAAGCTCCTCTTTGTCTGTGTAGCCACAGGACCTGGTGGTACAAGGTTTTACACTAAGCTGCTTCCTAAATGATCCTTGGATTGAATTTGATGAAAATGCCGCAGGTGTTAAAAACGCCCTCTGTACAGTTGGGGCCACGTGCAGCCAAGACTGCTGTTGGCGACACTCGCCCGGTTTCTGCCCACGCAGATTCCAGCTGCGCGTAGGAGGAAGTGGGTCTGAGCAGTCCTGTCAGCCTGATTCCACTAGGCGGGCCCTTTCTAGCTATGGAGAAGCAGAAAGGGCAGAGAGATTAAGACACACGAGAGAAGATGAACAGGAGGCTGCTCGTTATCAAATCTATCCAGGCATTAAGCTCGCCGAAGGTTTAGACTCGTTACTGTTTGGTAGCAAAGGGCGAGTAACTGAATGTCGGTCTCATCTCTTCTCCAGGAGTTTGCACTACAGAAATTGAATGCGGTGGTCAATGACTTCTGGGCAGAAATTTCGGAGTCTGTAGACAAAATGTAAGCAGTCACTTCATTTCCGTAAGGTGCCTTGTGCCTTGGTCCTGGGGGCACCAATGAGGACCTCCCTGCCTTTGTGTTTCTTTCAGAGAAGTCCTGTACGAAGACGAAGGTTTTCGTAGTCGTCACTTTGCTGCCCTCGTGGCATCCAAAGTGTTCTATCACCTGGGGGCATTCGAGGAGTCCCTGAACTACGCTCTGGGAGCCGGCGACCTCTTCAATGTCAATGACAATTCAGAATATGTGGAGACCATCATAGGTGACTACCCTCTCACCTCGAGTGATTCTCTCTCCAACTCTGTTGTCTTGAGAATGCTCTCTTATTAAGTATAGGGAGTTTGAGTGGCCACACCGCCTAGCTTTTCCTGGGGCATTTTTTGTGGAGGGGGGCATTATTATTTCCTGATGTAAGTAAATTTTATTGAATTGGAAATTCTGGTTGTTCCTCTGCTTAATTTTCACCAGGGAAAGTTTTAGCTCTTCCCTCCAACACCTTGTTTTACTCTCTGTTTCTTTATCATAAGCAGCATCACTATCCATACTATAGTGATTATAATAACGGATGGATGTATAAGGAGAAATCTAGGGGTATATATCAGAAAACATTGGCTCCAAGAAGTGCCAGGATAGAGTCATAGAAACAAACCAGAAAATCCTAGAAAATAGAAATTTCTCTTTTGGAATTGTGTCCAAAGCCCAGCCTTTTAAATGTCTAAATGATGGTGAGATTTTACCTTGGGGGGTTGATTTGATTTTCTGAAACAGGCAAAAGTCCTTTGTAGTTTGTTCTGTTGAATTATAAGGTAGGTAATCAAGCAGGATAATCACATAATTTTCTTTTTAAAAGGGACCTTATTGGCCAGCTAGACCAGCCTATATGGGGGGAGGGGAGAAACACATCACTCTCCATAGCACCTCAGAAGGGCACTCATGCAACCTTTGCTTGAGACCCGCCAGTGAGGGTCCTCGAGCCCATCCCTCGAGCCTGTCCCTGGGGCAGACCATCCATCCCCCTTTGGGGTGACTCGTTATTCAGATGTTTTTCCTGTTACTGAACTGGAAAGTGCATCTTTATACAACTTCCACCCATCCTATCCATTTGCACCTTCCGCTTCTGGGGCCACACAGGACAATTCTCATGTTGCATTTTGTCAAACGTGATATGTGATTAAAATAATGAGACTCATTTCCACGGGTGACTTAGTTTATATGAATTTCCCAAAATGTTTGGGGCAGTGGCAGCATCATCTGCACTCACTGTTTCAGCTTCCTTACCTCCCAGTCTCTTCTCAGCCCTTGGGATCTGGCTTCCAGCCCTGGCCCTCCACTGCAGCTGCGCTCCCCGCAGTCCTGATACTGTCTGAACGGCCAGGTCTGACGGCCTTTCCCCGTCCTCAGGCTCTTTGCTTTCTCTGCAGAGAGACATGGCCCTGACTTCTCCCACAACTCTCGTTCTCCTCCCTGTCTGGCCACTTCTCCATCCCCTTGGCTGGATCATCCTCTTCCTCCCATCCATCACGTTGGACTGGACCCCGACACCCGGGCCCGGGGCTTTCTTCTTCTGCTGCTCTTCTTGGTGATTCCATTGGTTTGCTTGTCATCTCTATGCAGATGACTTGTGAATTTACACATACAGGCCTTATTTCTCTCTCAAACTCCAGACGTTACCTGTTGGACTTTTTTTAATTAAAAATTCTGTTCAATCAATGGACATTTTTTTCTCTCCTTCCTTCCTCTCTCCCTCAGAAAAAAAAAATGAGTAAACAAAACCTTTGTAATAAATATGCATAATTGGGCAAAACAGAAGCCCATATTGGGCGTGTGCCGACACATAAGGCCTTGGGTATGTCGTGGTGGGGCTGGGTAGTGCACTTCATCATGGGTCCTTTACAGTTGGCCGTTGTCCTCCCAAGTTCTTGAGTCTTTCCAAGTGGTTGTCTTTACAGTGTTGTTATGGTCCTGCTCACTTACTTTGCATCAGTTCACAAACATTTTCCCAGGTTTCTCTGAAAACTGTCTCATCATTTCTTACGAAGCAATAATCTTCTATTACATTTATTCAGTCATTCTCCAATTAAAGGGCACCCCCTTAGTTTCCAGTTCTCTGCTGTGAGAAAGAGAGCTGGCATAAATACGTTTGTATGCATGGGTCCTTTTTCTCTTTTTTTGATCTCTTTGGAGGTATAGGCCTAGCTGTGGTATGACTGGGTCAAAGGGTAGGCACAGTTTTGTAGCTTTTGGGGCTTAATTCCAGACTTCATTCCAGAATGGCTAGACCAGTTCGTAGCTCCACAATTTGTTGGACTTTTCCAACAGGTTGTTCCAAAGATGCTTCACTAAAAACCTCCAAAACGGGAGCTCATAATACCTCTGCCTGTGCCATGTTGCCCTCTTTTTGGTAGTTGACAGCACTGTCATCTTACAGTTATTCCATTTAGCAACCTCAAAGTCATCCTTGCCTCTTCTCCTCACTCCTCTCCTCCCTGCAGACCATTGTCTTTGTCAAGACTTGTGGCTTCTACCCACACAGCATCTTTTCTGTGCCTTCTCTGCACTCATGAGCCTCTACCTGCATTCACGTCTTCTACCAGTTCTCGCCTGGGCTATGGTAGCAGCCCCTAATTGGCATCCCTGCTCCCGGGTCCAGCTGCCAGATTAGCAGATTCATCCATATTGTCTCAAAGAAGCAATGCCCGCTCCTCAGCCTGGCCTTGGAAGCCCTCTGCAGTGAGCACCTTCTCTCCCCCATTCTCAGTTCGTGCTGCTCCGTGCGGTCCCTCTGGCCTGACAGCGTGAGGCTTGATCACCATCTGCAGGCCTCTCCCCTCCTTGCGTGCTGGCTGCCTTCTGGCTCCTGGCCTGTGCCCCTGCTGTCCTTTCCCTCCAGGAGAGTGCCCCCTTCTCAAGGGCCACATTTGCTGTGGTTCTGCTTTGTGTGCCCAGAAGCCAGCCCAGGGCCTGGCCGGCCTGTCATTGTTCTCAGAAGAGGCGATGGTTTGCTCTGGTGGCTGCTCTGAAGGGACCCACACTCTTTGCATAAGTGCTGGTGTGTCTTTAAAGACAAACAAAACAGCCTCTGCAAACCCCCAGAGAACCTCCCTTCTTAGAGCCAGGCGCCATCTGCTGGGCAAAGACACCACAGCGATGTTAGTGCTTGACCAGGATCTTGTCTCCCTCCCCAGCCAAATGCATTGACCATTACACCAAGCAGTGTGTGGAGAATGCCGAGTTGCCCGAGGGGGAAAGGAAGCCTGTGGACCAGAGACTAGAAGGTATCGTGAACAAGATGTTTCAGAGGTGTCTGGATGATCACAAGTACAAACAGGCCATCGGCATTGCTCTGGAGACCCGCAGGCTAGACGTCTTTGAGAAGACCATATTGCAGTCGGTAGGGACACATCCTCCTTGTCAGTGGGGGGTAAGGGTTGAGTGGTGAGAAGAGAGTCTAAGGGGAGAGGTTTCATTCTCAATTATGTTGCTTTTTTGCTGAAAATGTTTTGTGCTCTATGTTTGATAGGCAAAGGCCAGCTCTGATCTACTCCTGGTTTGGGTGTCATCTTGGAGCGTTGCTTGCCACACCGACGAGATTGGGTGTTGGGTGTGTGTGGCCAGTATATTTACACAGAGGGCTTTTTTGGCTTCAGGAGGTCAGGGCTGAAGAGCCTGTTCAGACTTCAGTTGTTGGGGCAATCATCTGTTTAATAAGCAAGATGGTTTAGCCTTGATTCATGAAAGCATTGGCCCCCAGTACAAAGCTGAAGTGTTGGAATTTCCCCCAAAGAAGGTTTAATTACATTTCTTGCAGTTTGATGGGAAACCCCTGGCTAAGCTGGTGCTTTCTCATGCCTGATCCTAGTACTCTATGTGGGGGGACAGGGGGTCCCCAGCTTAGAGGTGATCTTGCAGAGCTCCCAGCCCTGGATAAATGTGGAATTGAACATGTCCTTTGGGATGTATTTGAGAAATGAAATGTCTTGGGTGATAACACTGCACTGTCAAGAAAGAATGGTAAATTTGAAGTTTCAAATCCTTAAGACAGCTGATGTTTTACTCTCTGAGGATTCATTTTTTGGGAACCGTTTGCTATTTGTGTCCTTAAGATGAGACCAAAAGCAAAACGTGTGCTGGGGGGGGGGGGGGTTGGCAAAATTAGAGCCAGTCATCAGTTTGGCCCTGAGGGGCTGTATGGAGGACCAGCAGACCCCGGCTTCTGGTGACCTCCTGGCCTTATATGACCCCGTTCCTGAGGGTCCAGACACACCCCAGACTGCTCCCACAGTCAGCCCCCTTGCAAAGGCTCCAACCTGGCCTCCATGCTTCATGTCCCTGCCCCCAAGGGGTTCCCCTAACGTGAGGGTCTGACCATATCAACCTGCTGGGTTGTACAATAAAAGGCAAACTCCGTAGCCTGGCCCTGCAGACCCTCCCCAGTCTAGTGTCTCATCAGTCCTTGTGCACTTGGTTTCCCACCTCTGGGTATTTGCCATGTGTGTTTTCTCTTCTCATCTCTGCCTCTCAGAATCCTGAGCTTTTTGACCTGGCCTTCTCAGCCAGGTTCCCTTCCCCACATCTGCCCATCTCTGCAGGGGTGGGTGGTCGTTCCCTCATACAATTGTTTATGTGGATTTGTGGTCCCACCCCCAGCCCCTGTAGAATGTAGCGTTAGGGTCCTGTGGACGCTTTTGTCTCAATAGCTCCAACTCTTGAGTAGCGTGGCACCAAGCCCAGCCTAGCCTGACTCCTAGGACCAAGAGCCCATCACGCATGAGTGTGGAGGGAGGCATAGGATCCTCTGTGCCACCATTGGCTAGAAGAGGCACCTGAGGTTGGAAGGGGTCCCATAACCAAGAGTGTTAGGACCAGCATGTGAGCCCTGATCTTGTGATTCCCAAGTCCAGGGCATGGTGGCAGTGGGGTCGGCTGTTTCCTATGAGGACTGTGGGTTCATGGAGCTTTCAGTCCACTAAAAGCCCAGACCTTTGTCAGAACAATTAAGAGGCTTCTTGGTTCTTGGTAGCCCCGTTCTCTCTAGCACACAGAGGACAACAAAAAGAAAGGAAAGGCCCCACAGGCTTCCTATCCTCCATCCCTGCCCACCCTGAGAAGCCCTGAGAGCAGCAGCATTGTCAGACATCACCACCATTCAGTCATAGGGATATAGAATGGAATCTCTGCATCATGAAGAAAACTGTATTCATGATGCCAGGAGGTGTAGAGTTTATTTGGGGAAGATTTTCATTTATGATAATTAAATGAAACGTTAGGTGTTTAAAGCAGTAAACCCTCAGCTGTCCTGGAAGGTAGGACAGAAAACTCATCCGTTTTGCGTTGCCAAAGTTTTAACGTATCTAAGATCAGAATGAAGTCATGTCAGATTGTATGGTCTAGTTCTAAGAAAACTTGATTCACTGGTAGCCACATGCAGATGCAGGGTTTCAATGGTGTTTTTCAGAATGATGTCCCTGGGATGCTGGCTTACAGCCTCAAGCTCTGCATGTCCCTGATGCAGAATAAACAGTTCCGTAATAGAGTGCTGAGAGTTCTGGTTAAAATTTACATGAATTTGGAGAAGCCGGACTTCATCAACGTTTGCCAGGTAACAGACCTTCCCTTTTCACCAGTCTGTTCATATCTGCTGTAATGAAAGCCAACAAATGGCCTTTGGCCTTTAGTGGATTGGAAGGCCCCCCAGTGTCTGTGATTAGACATCGATCATTCTCTAATGATTGTTTATGGACATCTTGGGTATCAGAAAGCGGAAACATCCTGTCGACTTCTGTTTGGCTTCCTTGGTTGTCTGTCATTATAACTCACTGCACATGGTCACAGATGATGCAGTTGACGGCCACTGTTGCCTCCATAGCCAATGTGATTTTTGCCTTTTTAATAACGGTGGTACAGACAGTTAGGAGGTGCTCGGGTGCTTTGTCGAAGAATTTAAAGCCCGGGTGACCCAGGTTTGTATGTGAGGAAAGTAGCATCTAAGTTAGCTGGAAGAGCGGGAGGCATGGCGCAGTAGCTGGGCCACCCCAGGAAGTCTTGTTTAGGCAAATGACGAGTTACCTGTCTCAGCGGGTGGTGAAGCAGCTGCCCCATAGGTGGAGCCTGATTTTACTCTTCGGAAAAGAAGGTTTTTTGGTATGCTTCTAACCTCTTTGAAGGCAAGGCTTCCTTTTACTGGGTTCTTAAAAGGCACCATTGTCGAGGGCCTGTGGACACTGTTAAATCTCAGGTTGCTTCGTTAGGTATTAAGGCAGAATAGGACTCGGGCTTTCATCGGTCTAGACTTGGCTTCTTCACCAAAGTATCTAGTGCTGGAGTCCTCAGTGTCCTGGAGAGGCCAAGCGACTTTCCCAGACCCCCAAGCTGGGATGGTTCCGAGGGGCCGTTGGAGCCCCAGCCCGGCTGTATAACTGCTCCAGCGCATCGACGCTCTGTTAAGATGGAAGGAGGACTTTGATTCTTCAGACGCTGAGACCCCCAGAAGGCTGGGGTTTTGGTACAGTTGTTGATGCCTTGTGGCTCCGTCTTGCTTTTATCGTCTTACCTTTCTCGTTTCTTTTCCTTCTGCCCTTTTAGTGCTTGATTTTCTTAGATGATCCTCAGGCTGTGAGTGACATCTTGGAGAAGCTGGTCAAAGAGGACAACCTCCTCATGGCCTATCAGATCTGCTTTGACCTGTATGAGAGCGCCAGCCAGCAGTTCCTGTCCTCCGTTATCCAGAACCTCCGTACTGTGGGCACCCCCATTGCTTCTGTGCCCGGCTCAACCAACACGGGTACCGTGCCCGGGGCCGAGAAGGAGAGGTGGGAATGGGCCCCGAGGCCTGCTCTGTCTGATTGGGGGGTGAGGTCCAGGGGCTGGGGGCTGCTCCCCACGTACTGCTTTGTCTTACTAATGTGGCCCAGGCATGGCCCAGACCCTTCCTTAGAATGTCCGGGAGAAGGCATCACGGGAGCTGTGGATGGGACTGGGGCAATAGGAGGCTTGAGTTGTGCTTCCCAAAGTCTGGCTCTGTGAGGCTGAAGATAACTTAGGGCTCATCCAGACCAAGCCACTAACTTGACAGATGAGTGTGCTGAGGATAGGAGAGGTAGAGGGACTTAGCCGGGGTCACACAGTCAGAACTAAAATGACCTCCTCATGGTGCTGCCTTTCCCAAAAGGGAATGTTGGAGAGTGGGAGGCAGTCCTGGTGGAGGTCAGCCAGTGAAGAAAGGCTTCTGTAGGTAGAAAACATTGGCTTTTACCAGCTGTTAAATTTCCCGTTCTATATCTCTGCTTTTCTTTCACCAGCTGTTCTTATTGACTCCTTTTCTCCTTTCTGCCATTGTTTAAATATGTGAGGGATGTTTATAGTTATTTGCTAAAAAGACTTGGTCCTGTGACCCTGGCTGGGCAAGCCAGCCTCTCTGACCTTTAGTCTCCTTATCTGTAAAATGGGCATAATAATAAATATTCTGCCTTGCAGGATAGTTGGGAGTTAAGTGTCTTATAAACTCTTAAAAAGTGAAGCTGAGGCACTGTTAGTTACTATGACTTAGTTCTCTTCTCTCCCCTGTAGCCTTCAGCCCACTTTTTTATCCTGAGATTCCAAAACTCTCCACAATCTTGTTGTATAGAATCCTGGAGTTCTCATCCACTGTCCTGATGGCGCAGTCTTGCATCCCGTCTTCCTCAGGGATTCAGGCAGTAGAGTCTGTTCTTTAGGGTTGTGTCATGTTTGCTCAGCAGTGTGGTGTATAGGAGTGTTCCTTTGCTCTTTGCTTATCTGATTCTCAGATGAGTGAACTTGAACTCTCTTCTTTATTTCAGTGAGAGTATGGAAACAGAAGAAAAGGCAGGCCACACATTTACTGGGAAGTCCCCAGAAGTGGTGAGTATTTTTTTTCTGAGAAGATGGGCTGGATGGCAAGGCCATTATTTATGAAAATACCCACCATGCCCTGTGCCTTGGGTAAATCTCTGAAGAGCTAGGTAACTTGCCTTTATGAAGGTTTTGCTTTTTAAAATAGACCCACAATACGATCCTGGACACACCGACAAGATTGGGGTCTGGGCCCTTGCAGAGAAGAGATTTGTTACACGGAGAGAATGCCAACTCTCTGGGAGGATGGTTGATTTGGGAGCCTGAGGGGGAGGGGGATTGCATTTTTTGGTGCAGGCTGTTTCTTCACTGGCGCCATTCAGGGTCCGCTCTCCAGACTAGGTAAACCTTGGAAGCCGACGGAAGCGTTCCACTTCACCTCTTGGTTTGGCCGTTGTCCTTCATTCTTGAAGAGGACCAAAGTGACATCAGTATGTTAGAGTCAAGTTACAGTGTGGGCAGCTGGGGCAGCTGGGGCTGATCAGACCAACCCAAGTTGGGAAGGCTCTACCGCAGGTCGGGCACAAATAGTCCGTGTGAACCTTTGGGGTGGAGATGTCTCTAAATTTGTGCATCTCATGTTTCTTTTGAGCTGTTTAACATTTAGAGGAGGTGGAGATGGGCAGGTAACCAAGGGTGTATGTGCAGCAGCATGACACTGAGGCTGAGTGCTTCCAGGGCGTTGGGATAAATCCAGATAGCAGAAATGAAGACAGTTATCTGGGATGACTGGTTGTAGCTCTGCCACAGCAAGTCTGAGAATCTGCAAGAAAAGAGCAATGCGCAGTTAAAGGAGCCAAAGTCAGAACACAGTGAATGGCCTGCCCTCCAGGGGTGATCCGCCATGTACAGAGGCCCCACGTCAGGGTTCTGACAGACAGCCCAGGTTGTTTCAGCTTGGAGGCGGTGGTATACAAATGGGCCTCACAGAAACGGGACTCTTGGACTTGGCATAATTTCACCTTTTGACCCTTTGTAATTGGTCCACGTGGGTCTCCTTGGGTAGGGACAGATTTTGGAAATGTCGGAACAGTAGTAGAGTGCCTGAAGATTCAGAGATTATTTGGAGATGGAGGATCTTCTGTGAAGGACAGAAAGCACAATGATATTCTTTCACTTTCATATGCCACTGTTTTATCAGCCATTCCCCAGTTGATGGGCACCTTCTTAGGTTCTGATTCTTGGCTTCTTTTTTTCCCCTCCTTTCTTCAGGATCAGGAAATTTGTTTTGCTTGTGACTATGCCCTCTCACTTAGTGTCCCCCTTTTCCGATCCCTGCATATTTCCCTGTTGAGTTTGGCATATTTCTACACTAAATTGTGTGTGTGCGTGTGTTTGTGTATTCAGAGCGGCCAGGTGGTACAGTGTGGATAGAGTGCTGGGCCTGGAGTCAGAAAGACTCATCTTCCTGAGTTCAAATCTGGCCTCAGACACTTACTTACTAGCTGTGTGACCCCGGGCAAGTCACTTCACTCTATTGGCCTTACCTTCCTCATCTGTCAAATGAGCTGGAGAAGGAAATGGCAAACCACTCCTGTATCATTGCCAAGAAAACCCCAAATGGGATCACCAAGAGTTGGACACAACCGAACTGACTGGACAGCAATGTGTACGTGCACTCAACCGCATTTGTTTACTTCATACGATGAGGTCCGTCCGATGCTCAGGAGCTTTTGCACTCCTTCCTCTTTGTTTGCGTGCTCGTCTCACACACCCCAATATTGAGAAACAACAGAGCTCCCTGCCCCTTCCTCATTTCTAAGTACATTTGTCCTCTTTCTACCCTCCCGCCTTTCTCTCCTCTTCAGACCCTCAGAACAGAACCAGTCCATCTCCCTCCCAACCCTGGGACCTCTGCTGTTCTTATAAAACTCACTTAACGCCCTTTGAAGAGATTAGGTTCTGAAAGGACACTTGAGTCTCCTTCCCCCATTAATTAGAATGTTAGCGCTCTTCATCAGATAGCCCCTTCTAATTGCTCAGACAGTTTCCCTTTCTAGGTTTTTCTGGATTCTTGTTTGTATTTTAAAATTCCTACTCAGCTCTGGTCTTTTCACCAGAAATACTTGAAAGACTTTTATTTCGTTGGATATTCATTCTACCTCCACCCGCACCCCTGGTAAGATTATATTCAGCTTTTCAGGATAAGGGTTTCTTGGTTGTAAACCTATCTCCTGTCTTGGAATATTGTATTTCAAATTCTCCTCTCATGTAGAGTAGAAGATGCCTGGTGTTCTGTGATCTCGACATACAGGCTCGTGAGTATCTGGTCCTGCTGGGAGTTTGGCAGCAGCCCTGTTTTCCTCTTGCCTGTGCTTGACTTTTGGGGCATTTCTGGGAATGCAAGGAGTCACTTAACAGAGTTTCTCATTGGGTTTCTTGATCATTATTTGTTCTGCTATGAATTTCAAGTGTTTTCTGGAGTTAGGGGCACAGGAGGCCCTGCAGGCTGGACAAGTCAGATGTGTCGGTGTGATGTTGTTTTCCTGTGTATCTTATAATTTCAGAAGCTGCTTTGTTTTTGTATCTGGTTATCCACTGGCAGTGTTTCTTAAATTAGCTTTAATTTTTGCCGTACGTGTTGTTTCACAGTAATATTTGTTTGTATGGGTCTTTCCCCTACTCTGCTTTTGATGTCTTTGGGATGTATGCCTTGGAGGTATGTTACTGGAAGCAGAGATGGACATTGTTGCTGTTGAGGTGCAGGGTGAGCTGTATGCCCTCTGAGATTTGACATGGAGGTTCTTCCCTGCGCTGGGGTCTTATGAATTGATCCCTAATGGCTAGTAGCCCCTCTCATGAACACTGCATTGTAAACTGAGGCACAGAGGAAAGCACGGTCTTTGATCACACATTTTCTTTCTTTCTGCAGAACCCAGAGCCCAAGGACCAGATATCAAAAATGATTAAAATTTTAAGTGGTGAAATGGCAATTGAATTACATCTTCAGTTTTTAATACGAAATAATAACACAGACCTCATGATTCTAAAAAACACAAAGGTAGGTAAAAAGCTCAAAGGTATTATCCTTGGAATCCACACGTTCTTTTGTATACACCTCTCTATGTTAAATGTTGTGTATCACTCCTGAGCCCAGAGATTAGTAGGTAGCAAAAGAATGAATATTAGACTAGTGGGAAAGGGGTCATCAGGGTTACCTCGCTCCTTTTTAAAGGCATTTTCTTTTCGATCATGAACTTAATGGCCATCAGCTGCATAAAAACAGAAGCGGTGCCGTATCCAGAGAATGACGTGAACATGGGACCCCCTGTTATCCACAGCATTTTTTTTAATACTTTGCTCCTTTATCATCATCCTTAGTGATGAATGTAGTAAAACTTCACTGATTTGAATAAATTACAGTGGGAGGACAATCTGAATTCATGAAAATTTAAAGAAACACAATCTTACTGTCATTAAATGTCAGAATTGTCACGTTCTTCACACTGAATGTTGTTAAGTGTGCTTGTTCTTGAGAAGTCAGATGTGTCACTATGATGTTGTTTTCCTGTGTATCTTATAATTTCAGAAGCTGCTTTGTTTTTGTATCTGGTTATCCATTGGCAGTGTTTCTTAAGTTAGCTTCAATTTTTGCCGTATGCATTGTTTCACAGTAAGCGCATAAATAATCAGCATGGGAGCTCGTTGTTTAAACAGTCCATTTATAATTGGAAGAACTGTTTTCATTGATAGAATCTCTTAATTTAATTCCTTTTTTCCCCCCATTTACCATCCTTTCTCAGAGCAGGCTGCACATTCCTAAAGCAGCTTCTCAGCCACATGCCCTGGGCTTGATGTTACTTTGGGTCCCTTCATAATCATTTGTGGTTCACATTTGCTTGAGACTGTTTTCTCTTCGCAGGATGAACACAAACACAAGGGTCATTTCCGGAGGGTTGATTTTTTTTTTTTTTTGCCTCTAAGGACTCATGTGTGTGTTTGTGCTGATGCATTCATCATGGTTGGAGAGTTTAAATATTTGGGCCCTTGTGGGAGGGCTCGTTTCTCTTCCTTCCCCTGACATTGATTTGGGGTATCTAGCATGTGACCCTCACGTGCCTCTCTGATACCTTGTAAATATGGAATTGTTTATTTCTGGGTGAGCCCTGACAGGTTGCAGTCAGCTCTCCTGGACAGTAAGATATGCAGCTAATTAGCCGTGGCCCATTGCTTTTTCACCTTCTGGGCTGTGTCCTAGGCTTTCAGGTTCTTTGCCTTCTTTGTCATAGATCCCTTGGGTAGGCTCACGAATCCTTGGGACCCTTTCTCCAAATAGTATTTTTAAACATATGAAATGAGATACAAAGATTACTGAGGAACCCAGGAATGTTGAAATGCAGTTACCTAAACATTTTAACAGTTTAAAAATGTAATACAGCTGCATAAAGAAGTACAACCTCTGGCTTTGTCTTGGGTCAGTAGAGATTAACGTGGGACCAATGTTTTGTCTCCTATTTTGGGGCTTTGTGCATATTTTTGTTGATGAGGCAACTGTTTGGAAATGGAAGAATACAGCTTACAGTTGTTGACTGTGCTTCCTCTCTGAGTTAGAAGGGGGTCTGCTGTCTGGACAGTCAGGGTACCTGAGGCCCTGGCCCACTTTGGTGATGGATCTCTTTGAGCTTCAATTTCCCCATCTGTAAAATGGGCATGAAGATAAATGTACCACCTTCTTACCTCATAGGATTGTAAGGAAAGTGCTTTGTACTCCTTAAAAGCACTTATAATTAAAGGATAATGATTTCACATTATAATTAATAGACTGAACCCTGACATCAAAAGAATACTTGTGTTTTCTAAGCTAGCTAGCTGATTTGTCCAAAGAAATGTCTTTGCCCCTTGTTCCGTGTATCTGTCGTGTCTGTTGTCTGTGCTGGGTAAAGCTCTGGCTTTGCTTTTCTAGGATGCGGTGCGGAACTCTGTATGTCACACGGCCACAGTCATAGCCAACTCATTCATGCACTGTGGGACGACCAGTGACCAGTTCCTTAGGTAAATATGTGCGCGTGGCTGCCGTGAACACGACTGGGCTATATTTATTTTTCTAGGTGGGAACTGAGGAATAAAAAAGGAGGCAAGTAAGAGCTGCTTATGTTTGAAAACCCATTTGAATGATAGGCTTTTAAATTACGAGACTCTTATGTGCTGGGGGGATTTGGGTTTGTCTGCGGAGGAATCATGCGGTGTTTCCTAGGTCGTGAAGCCTGAACTAAATTATTACCTTCTGAGATCATGGCCTTGGCCTCCAAGGCGATTGGATGGGTGGTGAAGTAAATGCTTAATGGTGGACATTTGCATTTATCCTAATGACTAAGATGTGCTTTCACAACCCAAATTGCTGATTGCCTATCCAGAGCACACACTTGTAACTGCAGAGTGGCAGATGAGCAATCGGCTCCCCGTCACAGTGGAGAAAATAGCAAGCCGTGGAATGGGGGCCTTGGCTTGTGATTATCTGGAAGGAACGTGCCCCTGGTCCCACTGGGCTTACCCTGCCAGCCCCTTTCTCCGGGCCCTTTAAAGTCGTTTTCTAATGGCCCTGAGCATGGCTTCAGAATAGGCATAGAATCTCTCTGACTCTGTGTTTCAACCAACATTACTGACTTGTCTTTCTTTGCAGAGATAATTTGGAATGGCTTGCCAGAGCCACGAACTGGGCAAAGTTTACTGCAACTGCCAGTCTGGGTGTAATTCATAAGGTAACTGCGGGCTGGGGCCTCGCCAACAACTGTTCTGTAGGTTTGGTGCTTGAGAATGAATGTGAAGCATGACTTAGTCATCCACACAGTTTGTAACCTGCCACTGGCTGGAGAAGGCTTCTTGGCACCAGAATTGTTGGCGATGGCCTCTGGTCCTTATGGAATGACTTCCCTTAATTCTTTCCTCAGAGCCATCCATCAGGATGTGTAGTTTGCCAAGGTATAGATATTTTCATCTGTTTTATGTTAAGTTCCCCAAACAAACGTGCATAAGTGCCTATTGTACGCAAGGTACCAAACCAGGGGCTCAGAAAATAAATGCAAGAATGTGGAAGTCCTTACCCTGAGAACTACCATTCAATGTCCTTTCCACACTTTGCTCCATCTTCTGTCTTAGCTAGTAAATAGCCTGCCTCTTCTGGTGTCTCCATCTCCTCCCAAGCATGCTCGAGATACCCAAGGGTTGCACGTGTGTTGCACTGAGGAGCAGTGAGAGCCAAGGCACTCTTTCATTTCACAAAGACAGTGTTAGGAGCAGCCCAGGTTTTACTGATCTCTGGTTGTCAGTCTCCATGTCTGGGAGCTTCACAATCATCTTGGGGCAGATCCCAAGCAAGGAAGATTCCTCCCCTTACCAGACTCTGTAGGATTGCAAGATTGCTTTCAAGTCCCTTGAGGTCACTCAATGCAGTGGGTGCATGTCCTCCAGCCAGACTATCTGCACATTGTGAGGAGGCATTTCAAGTGCCCCTTTGGGGCACGGCCACAGCTTGCCCAGCAGTGGGGATGAGGTGTATTACACATTTGTGTAGTACGAGTGGGTCCCTTGGGAGGCAGAGAGAAATCATATCTAGTCGTGGGCATCCGGAAAGCTTCATCGTGGGGATGATGGCCTCGAAGGACAGGGAGGATTTCGCTGGCACTAGCTGCATCTGTGTAGCGCCGTAAGGTTGGCAAAGCCCATTACAAATGCTCTCTCATTTGGATTTAAGAGGGGGGGAGGTTGTCGATATTTTAGTTGGTGAGGGGGAGGCTTGTAACACAACAGAACACAGAGCCTCGAATGTCAAACCAAGGCTGGCATTAGGCAGCGAGCAGGGAACCGCGCATGGGAATGCAGTAGTCCAAGCCTTGCAGGCTTTTTGATGGCGGCTTACGGCCTTTCCTCTCAAGTTTCATCAGATCAGCAGGAAGCAGGAGCCCCGAATTCGAATATCTTGACTTCCTCTAAATTTGAGTATTCTACCTCCCCACTTTGGAAGGGTTAGGAGAGGAAACCTCCATTTGGAGAATGTTACCCAGTGTCATCAGATGGAAATTCCTCCTCCAGTGCAGGGCCTGCACAATGTGTGTCTTCACAGCTTCACGTCTCTGTTAACTTTCATCAAGAATTGAGCAGTATACAGATGATGATGATAACGATGAACTGTTTCCCTGCTGGCCTTAACTGAGGTGCTCAGCTCCTGGAGCTCTTCCCTTTTGTCTGCGTTTCTGCTCTCCCTGGTCTTTCTAGAGGATTTTCAGCTTTGGGGTTTCTATTGCCTTTACCGTGTTGAATTTCGGGTGCCACTCCACCTCAAATCCTTGTTTTTTGTCATTAAGCACTTCACTGAACTCTTTGGGCCTGGGGGCTAGATGAGGTAACAGATAAAGCATCAGAACGAGAAGGGAAATTTCTCTGTAGCTTTCCTTTCCCCAGGGAAATGGAAACCTCTTTCCTTCCCCCAAAGCTGGGTCAAGATGAGAAAACTGACTTATCATGAAGAAGGTTTGAGGAAGTAGTGAAACAAAAAAATAATCCTATTTAGTGGGGTGTTCTAGGCGCCATTGGGACCTCATGAGTCTCCCTGAAAAACACGCCTGTCTTTATTTGTAGAGAAAAGTGATGAAGAAGGAAACTCAGTTTTAGACCTTCACGTTAGTGAAAAGGTCCCTTATTGGACCTCAGAACATTTCGGATTCCTCTTAGGCACTTCATATGGTCTTCATTTATAATCTGTATGTCGGAGTGAGCAGATGGACAGCCAGCCTCAGTGTTAGGAACACCTGGCCTTGGGCTTCTGAAGCATCTTGGTGTGTGAACCTGGGCAAATGACTTAGCTTCTCGGTGCCCCATGCAACTCCCAGGAGACTACAAGTTGCAGTGGGGGTGCTGACCTATGTTGGTAAAGGGAGCTTGCTTACCCAGAAGTTCCCTACATCCGTGAAGTCAAGAGTCTTCCCTTCCTCCTTCCCCTCCAGAAACCCAAATCTGAGTATAGATCTTAGCCCCCCCCCTTCCAGTGGGAGGGAGTGGAGTATGTCCTTTTTATCTTTATATTTACTTTAGAATGTAGCGCAGCATACTTACACATAGGACGTGGTGCTTAATAAGGATTTGTTAAATTAATGATCATTCTCTCAGATATCAATAGGAGGAACATACTAAAATAAGATGTTTTTCTCCATAACGCTTTTGTTTAATTTACAGGGTCATGAGAAGGAAGCATTACAATTAATGGCAACCTATCTCCCTAAGGACACCTCTCCCGGGTCAGCCTATCAGGAAGGCGGAGGTCTCTACGCTTTGGGTCTCATTCATGCCAATCATGGTGGCGACATCATTGACTATCTGCTTAACCAGCTCAAGAACGCCAGCAATGATGTGAGCATTTGAATATCTGGGGAATGATGGCTTAAAAAAAATCCTGGAAAAGCGTCTGCTTTGTGAACTGGTATTAATATATGGACATTTTTAAATACACAGAAAAAGATAAATTCCTTACTCATCTAATTGTGAAGAATGATCCTGGCTGTCTTTGTCTCTCGTATGAAACTCCAAAGTTCTTTTCTCATTTCTTTAACCATCAGAACAAGGCACTGAGTGTGTGTGTACATATATAAGTTCAGTAAGTAGGGAGTATATGGATATACATGTATACACACACACACATGTAAATAGATAGGGCTTTGTAGACATACATGTATGTGTACAAACACACATATATACATGTATACTTATATACATACCTACCCAGTGATAGGTAACGTAGTGCATTGGCTAGAGTGCTGACCTCAGACACAGGAGGACCTGTGTTCGTCTGGCTTTTGCCACGCATTGGCTCTGTAACCCCAGACGAGTCATTTGATCTCACTTCAGAAGGTAGATGCTATTATTATCACCATTTTACACATGAGGAAACTGCTGCAGACAGCAGTGAAGTGACTTGTGGAGGGTCACACAGCTAAGAAGTATCTGAAGCTGGATTTGATCTCAGGGCTTCCCAGCTCCCAAGTAAACACTCCATTCATGGTGCCATCAAGTTGCCCATACGCTGTGTTCTTGTGAAGCAGCTTTTAGCGACTTGTTCTGTGTTTCTCTTTTGCCCATTTGGTCAGAGAGCTCTTCCTTAGGGACTGGGCCGAAAAGGGAAGCTTCCTGTGCTGATTAGTCTCTGAGAGTCTGACCTCCTTCCAGCTACTTGATTGGCTGTCTTGCAGCATGGGCTGTTTGTGTTTGTTTTAATGACAGTAGTCTTCCCCAGGTTGGGTGAGGAGGGCCCGGTATGAACACAACCTGTTCTTTCCCTAGATTGTCCGACACGGTGGTAGTTTGGGCCTTGGATTGGCTGCCATGGGCACTGCCCGCCAGGATGTCTACGATCTGCTGAAAACAAACCTATACCAGGATGATGCCGTGACAGGTGATGTATTTCTCTAAAAAGCAGCAGACCTGGGGCTCTTAGTTGGGTCCACAGCTCCTTGGATAGATTTCAAGAGGCCCTCAACCTTGAAATTTTGATCATTTGGATCACTGTATTTCATCATAATTGGCTTCCTGTGTATTTCTTTGTTTATGCATTTAAAAATATGGTTCAGAGAAGGGGTCCCAAGTGTATCCCAACCTGCTGCTGCCTGAGGGTTCTGTAGTGTGGGTGCTCTGAAGCCAGCAACGTTTTTTTCTTTTTAAGTCAAGCTTGTCATTTCATTGGTGTCAGGAACTCTAGGCGACCTCTAGGTCCTCACCAGTGCAATGCTAGCACTCCTTCTCAGCAACTTCGAGCTGCCTGGTGCACTGGGGGGTGATGATGTACTGCATCCTGGAATCATCCGGGCAGGGTGCCGCAGAAGCGGGACTGGAGCTTGCATCTTGATGCTAGCCTGTGGACCATTTGGCTTCTCCACAAACTCTTAAGGCTTAAGGAATAATTCTCTTAGTTTACTCCTGTTGTATGGACACGTAGCATCAAGGTGACCTCTAAATTGACTTTTCCCGTTCCACATGTATTGGAAGAGGGAGGGGATCCTTCTTCTTGGGATGATTTGAGAGGCTCAGCTGATGCTGCATTCTCATGGACATGTCATGTGACAAGGGCCTGTGTGCCTGCTGGCTGGACGGGACGGGACGGGGTTTTACTCTCAAGATGTCTCTTGGGACGCTTTCTCTATGGCTTACCTCTGACGCTTAGCCAGAAGGTGGAAATGTCGAAGACAGTGCAGTCTCCCCACTTGGAAAACTGTAGGATTTGGAACTCGCCAAAACTTAGGGTCAGATTTAAAATGAAAAGAGGAACTTGCCAGACTTGAGCATCAGCCACAGAGAGTGCTTTATTGGAGACAATGGTCCAGTCCTTTTCTTTGTAGCAGAATGTTTGAAAAGGACGTCTGGAGAGCTAGAAGGTGACTTGGGGATTTCATCCCGCTTTCTAGTGGTACCTTTTGTCTGGAATAGTCTGTGATGCTTTGTTGACTTGGCATAAAGAATATCAGCTCTTAAAGGAAGATACTAACACATTACTTCTCGATGTCCAGGAGAAGCAGCTGGCCTTGCCCTGGGCCTGGTTATGTTAGGTTCTAAAAATGCCCAGGCTATCGAAGACATGGTTGGCTATGCCCAGGAGACCCAGCATGAGAAGATCTTACGGGGCCTTGCTGTTGGCATCGCTTTGGTAATGTACGGGAGAATGGAGGAAGCCGACGCCCTCATTGAGTCTCTGTGCCGGGATAAGGTGAGAGCGTCTCTTCGGTACCATTGGGCTCCATTAACTGTCAGTGTGCTCACTGCGCACAGGCTTTTCCTGCTGTACTGACTTCTCTTCCCCTCCCATTCCCCAGGTTATTTTCCATTTACTGCTGTACTCATCTTCCCCCCAAATCAAATGAGATTGTGTTTGTAAAGGTCTTAGCACACAGCATGGCACGTAATTGGTTCTTAATAAATACTCATCCTTTTTCCTTCCCCTCCAAAAATTTGTTTTTTTATAATAATACACATCTGCTTGCACAACTCCTCTGTAAAAATCTATGAATTGATTTGGATAGAGGGGAGAGAATCACTGGTTTACAGATGCGTTAGCCCATGAAGGTTTTCTAAGTTAGAAGTCCACAAATTGGTCTAGGGGAATAGATCTTTTGAAAAATACAGTTTTCATTTTATTGATATTTTTTACATCATCTATATTTCTCATTATGCTCCTTCTCCCCTTACCAGAAATCCATCCCTTAAATCAGAAAATAAAATAAACAAAAGCAGTTCAACAAAACTAACCAGCACCTCAGTCACGTCTGACTCTGGGATATGGGTCCCCACCCACATTCCCAGCCCCCTCCTCTGGGCTGGTAGGTGGGGGTGTTCTCATCACATGGCCTTTTGTGACATTGCAGTACATACATGTAGTGAGGACAGGATGAAATCAGCTTTTATGTGTGCCCGAAGAACGGGTGCCTTCACCGATTTTTTCAGCAAAAATGGCCATTCTCTTTGGTTTTCAAGTGAAAAGACTTTACTGCTTCATTGATGCCCTTCTCGCTTCTCAGTGAGGACTCCCTCATGCACACACACTCTGGTCACAAGTCAACTCATCAACATGGTGGCAGGCCCAGCCTCTTCCTCACCACTTCCTCGGAAGGGCCTCGTTGACCATTTGATGTCTTGCCCAGGATTGAGAAGCCTCTCCCTGCAGTTCTCCCGTCATGGGAAGTGCCCTCTTGGATCTGCTTGCATCACTTGGTGTTGGTTCACACAAGTCTGCCCATGTTTCTATGAATTCTTTACATTTGTCGTTTCCTAATGGTGCCAGGATTTCCTGTGTGAAGCAGCATCATGGAGCGGATAGTGGCCTGACCCTGGGGTCAAGGAAACCCAGGTTCAGATCCTACCTCTGCTATGTCCTGGGCAAGGGTGGCCCTGGGAGGCTCACGTAACCTTTCATTGGCCCACCCAACTCACTGATATCACAAGTTGCGAAGCAGTTACTGCTTTAGTACCAGGAACTTTCTCACCAGCAGCGCCCTGAGCCAATGCAGTCATAGTTATGGACCAAGAAAGGAAAAAATTCATGGCATCCATGTACCACACAGTTATTCAGCCATTTCCCATTCATTGGGCATCCAAGTTCTTTCTAGTTCTTTGTAATTTCAAAAAGTGCTATTTGGAATCCATTTGTTTATGTGGGGCATGGTCTGGCTGCCCATGTGTGTCACAGCCCACCCTCATGCCCTTTTTGACCTTGTTCCCGAATATGCTTGGAGTGGTACAGCTGGGTGAAATGAGGTCACGGTTCAGGTTTAGTGACTGTTAACATCATTCCCAATTGTTTTCTTGGTGGTTGGACCAGGTACAGCTGCAGTGCCCATCTTCCTCTTAATGCTAGCCAAAGTTGTTTGTGTGTGATGGGATGGAGTAGGAGGAGTCCTCTGGGAAGGTGCTTTGGCCTCATTAAATAATAGGCCCATCATGTTTAGGAACCTCAAGTGAGTTTCTCTTCATCTGAGGGCTCTCTGGACTTGTTTGCCAAATGGCAAAGAAAGACTTTGGCATTAGTCTATGCATGAAGGGCATAGGGCGAGAAAGGTGGGCTGAGGTCAGATATGCACAGGACATGTGGGATGGGAGAGGAAGGTAAAGGAAAATAAAACAAGCATTTATTAAGCACCTGCTGAGGGCCAGGCACTGTACTGGGTACATCATAGATATCTTATTTGATCCTCACAACGACGCTGGGGGGCAATTGTGATCCCTATTTGATAGTTGAGGAAACTAAGGCCAACAGTCACACAGGTGCTAAGTGTGTCTAACTGCAGATTTGAACTTGGATCTTACTGACTCCAGGACAGTGCTCTATCCACCATGCCCATTTTCTTCTGTCAGATTCTCCTGTAGCTCCTCACGTACGTGATGAGTTCTTCTCCCAATCAAATTAGCATTAACCGATCCCATCCAAACCCACTGCCAGGCAACTCCTCCGTACCATTGGCCACCTTTTGACTTGTGGATCTGAGCCCCCGTTTTCTTTGCCTGCGTCCCAGACTAGCTGTCAGGCTCGAGGCCTGTGTAAGCATTGGATAAATGTTGACTTATCCCCTCCACAGGACCCAATCCTCCGTCGATCTGGAATGTACACGGTAGCCATGGCTTACTGTGGTTCAGGGAACAACAAGGCCATTCGGCGTCTGCTGCATGTGGCAGTAAGTAGCGTGTGCTGGGGCATGGGGGTGCTGATTGACTGAGTGTCTGTGGTCAGTTCATCGAGCCCCTCAACAGATGGGATGTTTGTTTTTGCTGGAAGGAGTCAGTCATAGCTACTCCCCAATTTACAGATGGATTATGTTCTAAGGGTTTGGTTCTCAGTTCTTTGCCAAGGTCAGAATGCAGAGGGTGTTTTGGTTTTTTTTGTAGAAACAGCAGTGGTTAGCTTTCTTGGCCTGTTCATCAAAACAATATTCCATAATAGAACTGAAATGATGCTGATCCTTTGATCCTCTCTGATGCTGGGGTGTGCATGCTCGTGTGTGTGTGTGTGTGTGTGTGTGTGTGTGTGTGTGTGTGTGTG